TTTCAATGATGCATAACAAGTATCGAAGAATGCTGGATAAAACAACCAAACTTTGATAGGAATATATTTTCAAATTAACTGAAGCAAAGTTCCTACAAATCAGCTAGAATAAATGGAATTAATCACTCAGATACTAGTATATTATGGTAACTGTGACTTGAATAGAATTAATAATTAAAATCAAGTGAACTCCTCCTCCAAAAACTTTTTTAACTGAAATGAATTTACGATCAGAGTAAATGCATTATTAAAATTGATTGAAAATACTAAGTTTAAAGAAAATAGCTTTACTCAATTAATAACACATTGTTAACACTCTTATTGAGATCCTAGAAAGTCAATTACAATTTGGAAAGGTAAAAAATGCAACCTTTCTTCTTTTTTTTCTCCTTTCCTTACTTCTCAGAAGAAGCCTAATGCTACATAAGGTAGCATTATATCCGTTTTCTCCTCTTCCACCAAAGCCTTTATATTATTCGATCTCATGCAAATGACTTATATTACAACAAAATTAAAGTAGGGCGAAAAAGAAATGGAAAAAAAAAGTTTGTTAATTAATTGAACAAATAATTAAGGAACCATTGAGAAATGTGTTAATCGACTTTGCACGATGGGTTCCAGAATTGGCTGCGGCCTTGAGGAACATATTGGGCTTCGATCATTGCTCAGTAATTCTTTTAACTCGGTTAAAGTTGCTTTCGTTGCTAATAGCATATTCTTTCGTCGTTGCATATCCAACGGTTCCATTGAACAATTTGCGCGTGTTAAATGTTCAGCAATTGCGCGAGCAGGAAATTCATTTTCGCAGACAGCATTGAAATCTTTTGCCAAATGCATCGCTTCAACTGCAGAAAATGAACTATTTCTCGCAACTTTTTCATTTCATCCAAAAATTTTTTTCAGCAATTCATGAAATTAACTTCAAACCAAAATTCATGCCAAATGTTTTTATCGCCTTATTATATAAGATGTCAGCAGACTAGTTTTAAGCATACACTGCGACATAGCAAGATTACTACCTTACTCTAATCAGTATAATCGAAAACTAAAATGCTAAATGGATATTGA